TCTCGCTATGATCTACAACTTTATAGTTGACTACTTTTTCATTAGAAATCATTTAGGGTCTTAGATTTGTATCTCAAGTTCAAAAAATTTGAAATTCAAATTTTACAAATGACCTCGGATGTAGAATTGACTTTTTCATTTGAAATCATTTGATGTCCCAACAGTTTGGCTAAAGTTTTGACGATTTTAAATTCAAATTTGTCAAACGGCCTTGGATGGCGAAACCACCAACATCAAAGTTGTAGATCTCGATCAGAACAACTTTGTAGTTGATGACTTTTTTTATCTGAAGTCATTTAGGGTTCTAAATATTCATTTTATAATCCTAAGAAGTTAGTACTAAAGAACACAAGTGACTTAGGAGCGGAGTGGTTAGAGCAGCTACGCGTGAGTGCACAGGTCTCAGGTTCAAATCCCGGCGGCGTGCCGATTTTCACGCGAAAGAACGCGTGACTTGTGACGTGCGATCGTGAGGCTGGCTGGTGGGGCCTTCCCAAAATTTTAAAAATATTCTCGATTTTGGAATTTTTGAAAATCCTTATCACCACCAGCTGGTAACATGAACCGGTGGTGATAAGTTTTCATCACCGCCGGTTTACTAACCGGCAGTTGTAACAATGGGCATCACTGCCGACTTACACTGCCGAGGGCTAAAACTGGCGGTGATGGGGGTCTGGAGCCGTCTTTTTCCCCGTGAATACATGTTCTGTAGTAGTGAGGAGCAAACCAAAACAAATAGAAAAAGGAAAAGAAAGAGCGATGATGGGGGAAGAATCCACAACCCGAAAACCCTACAAGCCTAACCCTTTTAGAGGAAGATATGTCAATCCAAAGGTTGCCTACAGAAGTGACATAGCCGCGGTGGCAAAGCATCCACCCAAAGAAGATGAGATGAACAAATAGCAGCAACGGCGGTAAAGCATCCACCCTAGAAGACCAAAGCGACCTTGGCAGCATAGCATTCGCAAGGTGAGAGGCCAAAGCACACTCGGCAGCAAAGTATCTACCAGAGGGGAACGGACCAAAGTGACATCGATGACAAAGTATCCGCCAGAGAAACCAATAGCGGTCAAGCATCCGCCAGGGAAGAAGGCGACAAAGCATCTGCCACGAGAGCCAAACGACGGTGGCTAAGCCAAGCACTCTAGTAGGACAGACCACTACAAAGGATATGAGGCACACACAAGCATGGCAAGGAGCAGATCCATGAAGAGGAACAATAGATCAAGTGGAGGCATGACAACAGATGCACAACAACGACGCCTTTAAGAAGGAGTGTGACATCCATGGATGCCACCATCATTGGTCCAAGCAGCAAGCAGGAAGGGCTTATGACCTGACACAGATGCCAGCAAGCTGACGGGAGAATGGAATCTTCGATGATGCCTCCAAGGAGGTTATTGACATAGGTTACGACATTGCCGCCGGCCCAGAGCTTAAGGTCGGGCAGGGTTTTTACCTAGATTCCAATCACCAACATAGACCACCAAATCTGCATGCCACCGCCACAACCACCATGACATCACGACCGCCAAGGATAGAAGTTGGCACCATGGACGAAGCCTAATGCGTGCTATGGCTTCTATGGCCTAGCGCAGTCCCCGCCGCCATGGCCGGCACCGCAGCCACCGCCTTGGCCACCTCCTAGGAACAACTAGTAGCGACGTGATGCCGGTAGAGGCCAATGCAACTCCACCAACACGTGGCGCAGCCAACCCAACAGCATAGGCCACATAGACTAGGGAAACGACCCTGCCACAAGGACGATGATCATGGCGAGGTGCCCTCTGACAGGATGTCCCATCGACCCAAATGCCACCCTCAAGGCATGACCCACAGCATGATGGTCCACATGGGCGCCGCCACCATGACCAACAGCAATCGACGCATCCAGAGTCGTCACTACTTCACACCGCTGATGGAGGCCGTCCTGGTGATGGATTCGACGAAGGAGATGCGTAGCCAGTTCTAGGAGGCAAAGTTATCCCCCGAGACTGCTGGGCCGCAAGACCATGCCACTACAAGTCGACCACCGATGTGCGTAGCCACGGTCGTCAGCACCAGGAGCCGACCGGGAGCACGAATCCATGCTGTGCAACCTTCACCCTCCATCGATCCGGTCTTCCCTCACTCAGATCTAGCAATCAAAAGCACGGATCTGGCTAAAGCATGCATAGATCGTGAGATTTGAGGTTGGGGAGAGAGAGGATATGGTGGAGAGAAAGAGAGAGGAGAGAGCGCTAAGGTTGGCCTTTTTATGCTCCCATGTTGGCCACTGCCGCTGGCGAGGACAAGGCTGCAGAGACGCGGTGACAGCGGCCAAGCCAGAGAGAGGGAGGGCCAAGTCTCTATAGTCGGTTGGGGCCCTCTAATTGCCCCCATGAGGAGATGACGCGAGGTGAGAGACTAGTCTAGTTGGAGGCAAGCTTCTATGAGCTAGAAATGCATCACCTCAATCCAGGATGGTTAAGGTGGTCTGGCCAATGGCCATTGAGGCGAGGACGGACGGGGAGTTATCCTGGTCACCTAGAGAATAGGGTGGTAATTAAGGTGTAATTCTTAGAGGAGTGATGTGGTGATGGATGGATAGGAGTTGCAGAAGATTATACCTTTGATGATGAGTTGTGCTAAGGATAAGCCCACAACCAAATAATGGGTTGTGGCCCTTGTATTTCCACTTACCTTATAACTATGCAATCACGGGAGGACCTCAGAGCGGGCTGGCCAAGCTGGTGTTGATGAAGATGTTGTCCAGCAGAACTTTGGAGCAGTCAATGGCCCAAGGAGTATTGTAAAAAAAAAATGACCCAAAGCGGAAGGCTCGGCCCAAGCTGAAGTACGTCAGCCCACAACAGGTGAAAAAGAAAAACACCGGCCCAAGACGTTGGTGATAGGAGAGATAAGAAGACACGCTGGAGAGGAAGGAAGACACGACGGAGAATACATTGGCCGGCTGGGGGCTGGAGATCAGCGAGCTCGGCTCGTTGGTAACTTGTAAGTGAATTCTGAGAGAATTCCTGCACTATACTCTCGCTAATCTAAAATAGATTCGTAACAGTTTGCTTCTGTGTTCAAATGCTGCGCCCCACCTACTGCATCATTATTTCTCATCCCAGAATCATGTTTCATTTTTTTAGAAAACCGATCATGTTTCTGATTGCCATAACATAACTGATCGGTTTGTTACAATGTTGCAATCCACTGCAGGAACAGGGACAGCCCCAACTGAAACAGAAAATATATATGATTTCTTCTCCCGACCACTTCCACGACCAGAATTTCTGTTCAGTCCTTTCTGCTGCAAATATGCTGATCTGACAGTGATCCCGTGACTGATCTGACAGAAGTTGTTACCATCGTCTCCTTGTCAGTGCCGGCCCTAGGGGTAGGCTACGAGGTGCAACGGCCGAGGACCCAAACGGATGAGGGACCCAAGCTCAGGTATACAAACTCTCAGGTCCTATAGTTCAATAGACATTAGCAAACTAATAAGAAGAGACACATAGAATTTGCCAGACGGTCCAAAAAGACAACATCGGTATTTCTTTCCTAGTTTCTTTTCCCCACGGCCCTCGGGTAGAGAGGAGGCGAGGAGTCACGCTACACACAACACACTCTGATCGTCAGTTCGCGACGTGCGCCTTACACACGCGGAGATGGTGAGTCGCGCCGCCGCGAAGAGCTGGACTACCGGAGACACAGACACGGCGCACGAGGACGGCGACCAGACAGGGCTCCACGACAACGACATCTTGATTCTTGGCTTCTTACGAATTGCGATCACCGATCAGTTGTTTAGGTCCAAGGTATTTTTTTCCTTTTTATTTTTAATCCAAATTAATTATTTGTATAATATTCCAGACTTCTAGTACTTTGTATCCGTATAGTCATATTTTTCTTCTAATTTAGGTGTTAGAATTTTAGAATGTTATCTAAGAAACATTTGTCATGGGTGAGAAAAGAAAACGAATATATTATTTTTTTAATCTATATTGTTCCTCGATAATTATCATACATCTACAAATATATTGATTAATCTACATTGTTTCTCGATAATTATCAGACATGTTAAATTAAAAATATGTTATTAAATTTGGTTTCGTTTTATAAGTAAAATTAATACCTATATATTATAAGATTTATACATGATCAAAAAGGACCGTTACGACGAGATCGTCAGAGGGCCCTTAAAATTCTGGGACCGGCACTGCTCCTTGTATTGCCAGCCAAGAGTGCCAAAAAAGCATCCCTGCAGCTTCAGCGGCACCCACTCTACTCCAGGTTTATCTCTGAGTTCTCTTGGACTTCTTTTAGGCTGTGTTTAGTTTGCGAATTTTGAAAATTTAGCACGGTAGCATTTTCTTTTTTATTTAGCAATTAGTGTTTAATCATGGACTAATTACGCTCAAAACGTTTATCTCACAATTTTCAACCAAACTGTATAATTAGTTTTTTTCGTCTATATTTAATACTCCATGCACGTATCGCAAGATTCGATGCGACAACTACTGTAGCACTTTTTAAAAAACTTTTTGGAAACTAAACAAGCCCTTAGGTGGCAAGTCATCATCCTTGCTAGTTGCTGTTGGGAAACTGGTTGCTTGGAAGCTGGTGGACACTGGCCAGCGTGCTATTGAAGTGGAAGCAAAGACACCCTCCTCTCCTGCCTCCATATATTCCTCCAGAGAGCTTGTGCTGTCTGCAGTCCGGTTCAACTGATCCTTTGGAGTAAAGGCCACAATCCTTGTCGTCGGCTGACTGGTCCGGCATGGCTGCGGCCTCGGACCGCGCTGAGGTCGACACTCGACACAGCCCGCCCGTTCCGGTCCTTCAAGGAGGCGGTGGCCGTGTTTGGCGACCGCATACTTGTCAGCAACAGCCATTCCAGGCACAGCAGCAGCAGTGCGGCCGCCATTGCCACCCCAAGCGCCAGTGCCAATACCACTAGCGTTACTGCCACCCCGAGTGCCAAGCATGAAGCAAGCAGCAGCAGCAGCACCATGACCTTCTCACCCACCCCAATGGCCGAGAGCGAGGAGGAGATAATGGCCGCCACCGTGCCGATGTACTCGGTGCCATCCTCCCCGACATCGCTCGCGTCATCACCTTCGCCGGTCAAGCCGTGCAGGGGGCGCGGCGGCGGCGACGACCACCGGGGCAAGGACAACGAGGCCGGCGGTGGTCTCGTGATCGTGCGCTCCATCCAGAAGCTGGAGGCCGACGTGGCAGAGACGCGGCAGGAGGTGGCGCAGCTCAGGAAGCGCGGCAACGAGATGGAGATGGCGCTGGCGAGCCTCAGCGCTCAGCTCCACCGGGGCCTCTCGAAGCTCGCCGAGATGGAGGCCGACAAGGTGGTGTTGGCTGGGGTGGCGGGGCGGCGCAACATCGGGGGCGACACCGACGTGGCGTCGCTCACGCTCCGGAGCGAGCGGTGGGGCGACAGGCTCGCCGCAAGCGAGTACCTGCCGTCATTCTCACACGCGCTGAGCCTTGGCGAGATGGACGACGTCGAGCTTATGGGCAGCGGCCGGAGGAGGAAGGCACAGAAGGTCAAGCCCATCGTGCCGCTCATCGGTGACATCCTCTTCTCCAGGAGGAAGAGCACCAAGGAGAAGGTTAACGATGGCTTCTACAGTGGTGATCTCTACAGCGTCCTAGGCTAGGCTGATGGCCAGTGCCTTTGTGTGTTCAGTGTGCTCATCTGTGTGGCATGGCAGCTTGCATGGTGTGCACTTTTTTATTATTTTGATGGCTCTTTCCTCTCTTTTTCTGATGTTCTTGTTTGCGTGGCTTGTGCAGGGGAGTTGCGTTTGTGTAAATGTACAAACATGTTGATGCCATGATCAACTAGTCATAGATATAGCGGGTGGAACCTCTTCTATTCGGGATAAAACAACCTAGATCGACTAGAAAGAGAACTAGAGAGAGAGAGATGCAGAGGTAGCTGACCATCGGTGGGCTTGCAGAGGAGGAAGCCATGGCGGTATCGGTGACGTAGAGTGCCGGCGAAGGGGAGGCAGTGATGTCCGGCCGCGGTGTGGACGTCCTAGCGACGGCGAGGCGGTGAAGAACGGTGGCGGCGCTTCCCATCGATGCTGCGCACCCTTGATCGGTTAGGGTTGTGTCGGTGGGGTACTGTGGCTGTGGTCAACCTCGTGTTGTGAGCCGTCGGCCCCCTCCTCTTTATATAGCGCAGTGCGACGGGGACCCACTAACCATGTAGGGTTGGGCGCCCCTGATCAGGGCGCGGGATCAAAGCCCAAGTTGGCCGTTGCGCCAATCTTGGTGGAGAGATCAACCTAACATTCTCCCCTTGATCTCACCTTTTGTCTTAAATTTAAAATACTTATCTCTTTTTCCCATTCCATCACAGATTAGCGCATAGAGCTTGCCTCGTCACAATAGTTAGTATCATTGAATTAACAGCTACAACACACCTCTCTGTATCGAACCAAATTCTCATCTAGACCCTTACTGTCTAGAAATCTTAGGTTTTCCCGTAAACCTGTGGCAGAACCTCCTAAATTATAGGGCCCACATGCACCTGTCACTGTCCAACGACCTTTGATATCTATGCATATATTCCCGGTAACTTAAGAAGACTGTCGGGTGTCCTCGGGAAACCCCGAATCATCCACGATTTCCGAGCAGGATCCCATTACAGAGTCATTGCAGTATTACAACAGTTTATTCAAATAGATACATCAGAGTAATATAGCGGAAGATTTATAATAACATAGTTTACAAACCATTTGTTTCAAACCATACAACGAAGTTCGGAAAATAATACAAACGAAAGTAGTGGAGTGGCATTATAACATATTACAGAACACACAAATAAATTGCCCTGCCCAAGGGCCACACATTTACTTATCATCATCGTACTAAACAACAGTCATGCAGCATGATCCAGAACAGATCTGCTCATGAGCCTCACCTGCAATAAGGGTCAATGAACCCTGAGTACAAAAGTACTCAACAAGACTTAACCGAAAATAAAAACTGATAGAACTTAAGAATGCAGGCTCAGGGATTCAAGGCATAGCTTTAGCAATAATCAAAGTTCTTTTGCGTAAAAGCTTTTTAATAAAATTCTTTACATCAACATTTAAAACTTCAGAAGATCATATACAAAGCTGACACGATCCGTATAAAGATCATGAAACTTCATATCCAACACTTTCTCAAACCATCCTCAAGTTCTAGTTATTAATGCTACGATGATGAACAGAGAAGTGAGTCTCCATAACCGAGGAGCAACGACGATTCAAACCGATTAAAAACCCAAGTAGGAATTCTAGACCACACGACATATGTAGGTCCTCGACTTACATATATCAACATACCCTCGGATTCTCTAAAACAAGAATGGGTCCACGCCACCCGAGAATACAATACTCCACCAATCTAGCCCATTGCCACGTAGGTACACGCTATTCTCGCCATCTCTCCACTCCCAGTGTGCGAGTAGCCATTCTCGTAATAGAATAGCCAAGTTAAGGCTTACCGGCGTATGTGGTTAGTACTACAAAGTCTCACCTTATGCGGTTCAACAATGGTACGGGCCTTAACCGACACAAGCGGAGAGAACCCGCTCACAAGACCTCCATGTCTTGTGGCTCACACACATCGAGTCCGCCCGGTCTAGATTTCTTACTCCACATGCCCATATCACATGATAACATAAGTAACCAAAGTTCCATTTAAAACTTGTAGGTGACAGGTAATCACCCGACTTTCATCGTTCTAAGCATAGCTAAGAAAAACTAGGCATATACGAATTAAGACTGGTAACAAGGTAGATATGGAAAAACAAGATTGGTAATGCATCAATTAGGTTCTCACTTAACTCCTAATCACTTAATGCAGTAAAGAAAAGAAAAAGCAAAATCAATTTGTAAAACACAAGGTAGGTTTAAATGCATCCGGGGCTTGCCTTCGTTGATGGAAAAGTCCGGTTCTGGAGTCGCAACACAATTATCCAACCCGACCTCAACAGATGGATTAACCTCCTCAACCACTTGATTAACTACCATGTGCTCACCTTCGTTCACTACACGTAGTAACAATGCCATGTTTAACATGATACGAGATACAAAATATGATGCTAGATGATGGATGCAAAATTAACAACTTGAATACAACTTTCCTTTGCGGTATAGTTACAAGTCAAACTAACTCAACTTTTCTATACTACTAACATCAATTGCCAAAGATTATTACCAACTAATGACCCAAGGACATCACTCAATCAAAAATTCAATCAAAACCTAAATCATTAAAGGTTACTATTTGCTTTTATGAATTAATTATTTAATTAAGAATTATGAAATAAATCAACTTGTTCCAATTGGCCTCCAAATTTTTGTAAATGATCCTCTCACGATAACTAAGTGGAAAAACAATTTTCATAATTTTTGGATAAATAAATAAGCCTAGAAAATTAATGGAAACTCATTTATTAATTAATTGAGCAATTTTTATCACTTTCAAAAATTACTGAAAAACAACATTTCATATTTTTACTAAATAGTATACATCACAGAGAGGTCACACAAATATTTTCATAATTTTTGGAGCACTAAATAAATCTACACAAAAAATAACAAAAACATACACTATTCATTTATTTCTGAAATTAGAAAAATTCCATTTTCAAAACACCCACTCACTGACAGCGGGGTCCCACCTGTCATCCCTAACCTCCTACGTTTGACCACGGCGACAGAGGCATTGACCGGTGATTTCTCGCCGCCGACGAGGTCCCCGGCGACGACCAAGGTACTAACACGATCACTACGTCACGGCGCATCGATTTGTGGCACAAGAGAGACCAATTACAACGGCGCACGAGCTTGACGACGACCATGGCGGACACGGTGGCGCGGTTGCCCTACGCCGGCGACAGGAGACCGGTAGAGATCAAACAGATCGCTTGGGAAGGATCAGCAGCTCACCCCGAACGCAATGGAGCAAAGAGCGAGACCGGAGGAGCCACGGAGATGCTGGTCGATGGTCACAGCGGCCACAGCAGAGCAACGGTCGTCGGTGGCGGCGCTCCGGCGACTGCGGTGGTCAAAACAAGAAATCAACAAGGTATTAAGCACCACAGCATTGAGACAAAGCTGGAACAACTAAACACTAGGACAGAGGTGCACCGTGGAGCTCTGGCCACAGCGATGCTCTCGCGACGGTGAGGTTGCCGGCCGTGAGGAAGAAAGGTGAAGAACGACGAGATTCGGCGAAGTCAGACGACCACGACCGGTTGGCTGGGTGCGCAAGGATTAGGTGAAACTGTGTAGCGTTTTGCCAAGACGGTGGAGATGCTACGGCGGTGGCAAAAGCTCAATGGAGTATGGCGGTAGCGGCGGGAGAAAACAGGGGAGGAAGAAAAACGACGACGACGGCGTCTCGGTCTTTATAACGCGGCTCAGAAGCACAAGGAAGCCACGCATGAGCCTCCTCTCTGCCAGCGCGATGCCAAAGACGGCCACGACCGCGCCTGGAAGCAAGCAGAAGGTCGCCGGCGGTGTAGCTTAAGCGGCGAGCACTGTTCATCATATTTACAGAATTGCCATCCGATTTGAAACTCAAATTACTCCCAAATTTGTATAACAACTCAAAAATCTCCAAAAATAAAAGTTGTTCAAAATCAAAAGTTCTACAACTTTGCTTTTATAACCACCCCCTAATTCGGTTTACATTTTGAAATGCAAATTTGAATTCAAAAAGGGGACATTTAAAGAATTACGCCTTTTCAATTTACTTCAAATTTTTCTAAACAACTTTGAAAACTCCAAAAACAAACTTTGTACAACCCAACAAACTCTACATTTTTGGTTTAAGGCTCAACCCCAAAATGTACTTCAATTTTGAAATAGGTTTTTTGGGTCAAAACTAATCGCTGGAAATCAGGGTTTTTGAAACTTCAAATCCAAACCAAACTTTGAACTCAATTCAAACCATACAAGGCAAGACTCATAACATAAATGTAAACTTGTTTTATTGAATGCATATCAAAGTTTGCAATATGACCAATGCCTTGCAATGCTTATGATGACATGTCCTGTTTTAGTATTTAAACACCCGAGGTGTTACAATCCTTCCCCCTAAAAGAAATCTCGTCCCGAGATTCAAAGTCATAGGGTAAGTAATGGAAAAAGAAATGTGTCAATCCAAAAATATCCAAAATCTGTTCATAAAACAACTAAGGTTCCTTTACAAACAAGGTTCGTAACAACAAAGCAAAACTAACATTCTTCTATATTGACGCATGAAACTCTGGAAACTTTTCTAACAGGTAATCTTCAGATTCCCAAGTAGCTTCTTCTTCTGAATGTTGATTCCATTGTACCTTGTAGAACTTGATGTTGATTGTCCTCCTTCGAGTAACACGATCTTTCTGATCCAAGACTCGGATAGGATACTCAGAATAGGTCAAATTAGGTTCAAGTTCCACTCCTTCAACCTCAACATTCTGCTCAGGCACTCGGAGACACTTCTTCAATTGAGAAACATGGAACACATCATGTACCACCGCGAGATGTTCTGGTAATTTCAAACGATATGCCACTTTTCCATACCTCTCTAAAATTTAAAATGGTCCAATATATCGAGGTGCCAACTTGCCTTTAACACCAAAACGGGCAACTCCCTTCATTGGTGATACCATTAGATATACAAAATCCCCCTTGTTAAACGTCAATGGTCTACGTCGTTTATCCGCATAACTCTTTTGTCAGAACTGAGCTATCTTCAAATTACTTTGTATTTGCCGAACCTTGTCTTCTGTTTCTTCCACAAGGTCAACTCCAAAGAACCTTCTTTCTCCGGGTTTCAAGAAACTTAGCGATTTTCTGCATCTACGACCATAGAGTGCTTCAAATGGAGTCATTCTAATGCTTTCCTAATAACTATTGTTGTATGAGAACTCGGCTAAAGGTAAGCATTCGTCCCACTTATTGGAATAGTTAAGGACACAACACCTTAACATATCTTCAAGTACTTGATTGACTCTTTCAGTCTGTCCATCAGTCTACGGATGATAAGCTGTACTATACAGGAGCTTGGTTCCCAACGAAGAATGCAATTGTTTCCAAAAACTGGAGACAAACTGTGTACCCCTATTGGACACAATGGTCTTTGGTACTCCATGGAGACTCATGATTCTTGCTAAATATATCCTGGCATATTGGATAGTGGAATATGTATTCCGGACGGGAAGAAAATGTGCTGACTTGGTTAGTCGATCCACAATAACCCATATTGAGTCAAAGCCCTTTGATGTCTTGGGTAGACCCACAATAAAGTCCATACTAATGTCCTCCCACTTCCAAGTTGGAATAAGTAATGGCTGTAATTCACCAGCAGACCTCAAATGTATAGCTTTCACCTTTTGACAAGTATCACACTTTGCTATATATCTAGCAATCTCTATCTTATTTTAGTCCACCAAAACTTTTATTTCAAGTCATGGTACATCTTGTTACTTTCCGGTTGGATAGATAACCTAGTAGCATGTGCTTCTTCAAGAATTGACTTCCGCAATTCAGGAACTTTTGGTACCACCAGACAATCCTTAAACCATAACACACCTTCATCATCTATGGTGAAACACTCCGCTTTTCCATTCCTAACTCTTTCCTTGATATGGGCTACACCCTTGTTTTCCTTCTGAGCAGCAATAATCTAGTCTCGAATATTAGCTTCAACAATTATGTTGGTCAAACTACCTTGTTGAATTACCTCTATATTCAATTTCTCCATCTCTTGACATAAAGTCAGACCCATTGTTCTCACTGTCAGGCAATTGCAATAACTTTTGCGACTGAGGGCATCTGCAACCACATTTGCTTTACCAGAGTGATAATGTACATCCAAATCATAATCTTTAATCAGTTCTAACCATCTTCTTTGTCGCATGTTCAATTCTGACTGAGTAAAGATATACTTTAAACTCTTGTGGTCTGTATAAATATGGCACGTATTACCAAGCAGGTAATGCCGCCAAATCTTTAGAGCATGGACAACAGCTGCTAATTCTAGATCATGAGTCGGATAGTGTTCATCATGTTGCTTAAGTTGCCTAGATGCATAAGCAATGACTCTACTTTCTTGCATCAATACACATCCAATACCAATATCCAAAGCATCACAATAAACATCAAACGGTTTCTCAATATCAGGTTGGGCTAATACTAGTGCAGTGGTCAACAGTCTCTTCAAAGTCTGGAATGTCTCTTCACAATCAGATGACCAGACAAACTTGACTTGGTTCTTCAACAACTCAGTTATGGACTTTGATACTTTAGAGAAATCTGGAATAAAATGACGGTAATACCCCGCTAATCCCAGAAAACTCCGAACTTGATGAACTATGGTTGGCGGTTTCCAATGATGCACATTTTTGTGTCAACACATTTTTTGGCCCGCCCGGTGGGACTACAATCGTCATGGCGACTCACAACAATAGGGACATTCTTATGGTGCCTTATGAAGACCTACCCGATGATGATAAAGATGTCATTGGTAAGGCCATGGAGGAGTTTTAGAACAAGTGCTTGTTGTCATACACCAAAACATGTGACAATAAAGTTATTCAGAAATATCCACTGTCAAGAGTTTTGATGCATGGATAGTTAAAATCAGACGAAGGTGATGATAGACATTTCTTTGTTGAAGCGGTCAACAAATCTGTTTATGATGCAATGCTCAATCAGAATACAACTTTCTTGAATACATTCCACAATACCAAGAAGGAGGTGTTTCATGGATTTCCACTTGATCAGGTTGGACCGGCTTATTACAATATTCCACATCCGTTGACTCAGGGGACTAATCAAGCCAGTACTAGCCATCAAGAAGCAGCACTAGCTAATAGTGATGATGCCTAGTCAATTCAGAATTCATCTGAGCAAATTCAGGGTGCCACTAATAATCAAATGCAATATAATCCAAGATCATCAGTGCAGCATGTGCAACAGCAGATAGGGCAAGTTTAGAATCAGATGGTTAATTTTGGTACATCAGGCCAAATACCGCCATCGGCTCAAAAAATAGCACCATCAGTTCAAAGGATTCATAGAGATATAGATCCTAATGTTTTCAATTAGGGATTTCAAGCAGCAAATCAGCAAGAGGCCCGATACATAGATATTCCACAAGGATATCATTATGGTTCAGATTATAATACCCTCAATATGATTCCAAAAATTCAGGGTATCAAGGCGCTCAGAATTTCAATCCATAGATGGGTCAGCAATTGCCAAGAAATCCAAACTCAAATGCTGATGAATTGTTGCTCAGAGTAACCGAACTGATGAAAAATCAGTTATGTTTAAAACCAAAAGGGCAGATCTTTTTATACAAACATCCATATCCAGAGTGGCATGATTTGGTGGCCCTTCCTACGAACTACAGACTTCCAGAATTTGCTATGTTCACTGGTCAAGAAGCACAAGTACAATAGAACATGTCAGTCGATATCTTACTCAGTTGGGTAAAGCCTCTATTGAAGAAGCGCATAGAGTTCGTTTCTTCTCTTTGTCCCTGTCAGGACCAGCTTTCACTTGGTTTTCATCATTAGCGGTTAATTCTATTGCCAATTGGAGTGACCTTGAGAAGAAATTTCATATATATTTCTATACTAGGATAGGGAAAGAAAGATCATAGATTTGATAACTATAAAGCAAAGAGCTAATGAAACGGGTGCTGAGTTCCTTCAGAGGTTCCGAGAAACAAGAAACTTATGCTTTTTGTTGAATTTGACTGATGATTAGCTAGCTGCGTTGTTCGTTCAAGGAATGTTGCCAACATAGAGAGAAAAGCCGTTTGGGCAAGAATTTGATAATTTAGGTCAATTGGCTCAACGGGTGGCAGCACTTAATAGCTAATTTTAGAATATGCGCAGAGATACCCGATTCCAGAAGAATGTTGCAATCACTAAAGCTTATAATCCATATTTAGTCGATGATGAGGAGGAGGAGGATGAAGAAAAGGAAATTGCTGTAGCTGAATGGAATTGGGGTAAAAAGATAATATTGGTTCCAAACCCTTGGGAAAAAGAAGTTGAAGAAAGTTATGATTTTGATGTCACAAAGGCAGACAGACTTTTTGATTTCTTGCTTGAGAAGGGACATATCAAATTACCAGCCAATCATGTTATATTACCTCCTGATCAGTTGAAGAATAAAAAGTTCTACAAATATCACAACACTACTTCTCATACTACTAATGATTGCAGAATTTTCCGGCAGCATATTCAGAGGGCTATTCAACAAGGGAAGCTTAAATTTGATACAGCTCGGAAAATGAAAGTTCATGATAATCTTTTCCCAAAGGATCAGAACATGGTTGATGCTAAGTTGTTCAAAGGGAAGACTAAAGTTTTGACATCAGCTAGGGCAAGAGAAACTGAAACAGTTGATCCGGAGATGTAAATATTGGCTGATGAATATAGAGAAATTAAAAGGCGTCGTGACAAACAAAAGAGCCAATATGAGTTGGGAGAAACATCGATAGATGGTGCGATGCGACGATGGCAATAGGCACGGCCAAAAGTGTTAGTTTTAAAAATAAAAAACCTCCGGTGTCAGATTTAAAAATAGTTTACAAAAAGTGTTAAAATTAAAAAAAATTCGCAGCAGCAGCAGCAGCACCATGACCTTCTCACCCACCCCAATGGCCGAGAGCGAGGCGGAGATAATGGCCGCCACCATGACAATGTACTCTGCACCATCCTCCTAGACATCGCTCGCGTCATCACCTTCGCTGATCAAGCCATGCAGGGGGCGCGGCGGCGACGACAACCATCAGGGCAAGGACAACGAGGCGGGCAGTGGTCTCGTGATCGTGCACTCCATCCAGAAGCTGGAGACCGACGTGGGGGAGATGCGGCAGGAGGTGGCGTAGCTGAAGAAGCGCGGGAACAAGATGGAGATGGCGCTGGCGAGCCTCAGCGCGTAGCTCCACCGGGGCCTCTTGAAGCTCACCAAGATGGAGGCCGACAAGGTGGAGTCGGCTCGGGTGGTGGGGCGGTGCAGCATCGGGGGTGACACCGACGTGACGTCGCTCACGATCCACAACGAGCGGTGGGGTGATAGGCTCGCCGCAAGCGAGTACCTACCGTCATTCTCACACGCGCTGAGCCTTGGCGAGATGGACAACATCGAGCTTATGGGCAGCGGCCGGAGGAGGAAGGCGCAGAAGGGAGCACCAAGGAGAAGGTTGACGATGGCTTCTACAGTGGTGATCTCTATGACGTCCTAGGCTAGGCTGATGGCCAGCGCCTTTGTGTGTGCAGTGTGCTCATCTGTGTGGCATGGCAGCTTGCATGGTGTGCACTTTTTTATTATTTTGATGGCACTTTCCTCTCTTTTTCTGATGTTCTTGTTTGCGTGGCTTGTGCAGGGGAGTTGCGTTTGTGTAAATGTACAAACATGTTGATGTAAAATAGCAGGATCAACTAGTCATAGATCTAGCAGGTGGAACCTCTTCTATTCGGGATAAAACAATCTAGATCGACTAGAAAGAGAACTAGAGAGAGAGAGGGATGCAGAGGTAGCTGACCATCAGTGGGCTTGGCGGAGGAGGAAGCCATGGCGGTGTCGGTGATGTAGAGTGCCGGCGAAGGGGAGGCAGTGATGTTCGGCCACGGTGTGGACGTCCTGGCGACAGCGAGGCAGTCAAGAACGGTGGCGGCGCTTCCCATCGATGCTGCGCACCCTTGATCAGTTAGGGTTGTGTCGGTGGGGTATTGTGGCTGCAGTCAACCTCGTGTTGCGTGCCGCCGGCCCCCACCTCTTTATATAGCGCAGTGCGACGGGGGCTCATTAACCATGTATGGTTGGACGCCCCTGATTAGGGCGCGGGATCAAGGCCCAAGTTGGCCGTTGGGCCAATCTTGGTGGAGAGATCAACCTAACATTCTTCCCTTGATCTCACCTTTTGTCTTAAACTTAAAATACTTATCTCTTTTTCCCATTCGATTATAGATTAGCGCATAGAGCGTGCCTCGTCACAACAGTCAGTATCATTGAATTAACAGCTGCAACACACCTCTCTGTATTGAAACATATTCTCATCTAGACCCTTATTGTCTAGAAATCATAGGCTTTTCCGTAAACCCATGCCAACTGTTTACACCAAAATTTGGAAAGAGGAACGCGGGAACTCGAAGCTTCCAAGATTTTGTCATCAAGGAATCGATTAGATGTGAATCGGTATCAGCTGATTTGGATGCGATATCAGAATCGGCTATTTTGTAGATGACGTCAGCAAATGGTGTCAATGGGCTATGCTTGAATGGCGTCAGGAAGATGTGTCGGACTCTACAAATAAGGAAAATTAGGGTCCAAGTTATTGTTAAGTTAGAAAGTTTTCTTTTATTTCAAGAATTGTAATGAGTTGTATTTGAGTAGGATTCATATTTAGGTTCCGGGTATAAATATTAGACCCTGGTTATTATACAATGACACGAAGAGTCAATCAATACAATCTTTCCGGCTTTCGCTATCGCATTAGGAGTAGGAGTATTGTATATCTCGGCGAGTTCTTCAGCAAACAGGGCTGCATCGACTGATCGACTTCTAGCTTGCTTGTGAGTATCGTCACGATTTGTATTGTTCTTGTAAAGCTGCATCAGCTGATTGATCTTTTATGAGCTATAATATAAGTTAGTTATCGATACATATCATTGTTTGTAAGGCTGCATCAGCTGATTGATCTCTTATGAATCATAATATAGATCAAAGTTATCGATCTTGCGTTAAATAACTTGTTGTTTAATACAATATCACCAGTTATCGAATCTGCTAAGATTAGTAAAATTTTTCTTGCTGTTTTTGGTTGATTCACCAGTTATCGATCTTGTTATAATTAATAAGCTGATATCCATTGGAGGAAGCTTCTGAGCTCCCCACGCTCATCAGTTCCCATTGTCCACCATGATCTTCATTCTCCTCATTTGTTTTTTCTGCTTCAGTCTTCAGCTCTTCATCTTTAATTCGATACGTATCCTGCAAATGGAATTCCTTGCTAGCTCCAAACTAGTTCTCTATATATATGCAAATTTTTAGAGTAAGCTAGCACCACCTACATGTGCAAATTTGTTACTGATGAGCTGGTCATATACATTTTTCCTCATGACAAAGCTGCTTAATTACTCGGACAGCAGCGTAATAACCTAGGTTAACGTTGTTCTCCAGCAACTACTGTGGAAATTAACACTACTATTCACAGTGTTGTACTAGTTGACTAAAAAATCCAAACTGAACACGGTGCCCTTTCCGATACAAGAATCTCACTGACATGTGAATGTTATGTTATACATGTGAATTTTGCTTGGCTTCCAGCCGGCCATTCAAAAGTTCATTTATATGACCTAGTATTTTCTTCCCTCATGGAAAATAAAGGGTTCAAAAGTTCATTTATATGACCTAAGAAGTACATTTGCCATGTCAGTCCTCACTCTTGTCCGTTTCCATGCAGATGGAGTCTCTCTTTCTAGCGTCTAACCTCTAGCTGCTATGAGCTAATGATATTTCCTTTTACTTTTATTTCCCCTCCTTTCCTTTTGAAAACTGCAAAGTGCAGACTAACATAGCTAGCCAGCAGTTGTTTTCACCCCTTTCTTTGCACAACATGACATATATTGGTACAACACATGTTACAAAGGCAATAGTAATGGATTAAACACATGCAACATGTAGCCAATGTTTCTATACTAATTAATCTTTGCTTCTAACGTATGTCACAGTATCAATCGGGGTAAATGCTATGTGATCCATCTGCTATGACACACACAGTCATGTAAACAAGTCAAAAGGCACACATCAACTGGTTGTTGGGGCATAATTGCAGCAGCAAACAAAGATGAAATTGTAGCACCCCTAACTACTCAGATTCATGTCATATTGATTTAATATAACTTACTCAACTAAACAACCATTCTTTAAAAGTTCGAATAATCATTCTTTAAAAGTTGCATAGCATGTTTTTGTAAATTTTAAAATTTTTAATACGACCTTTACATACTCTTCCCATGCTAATTGATTGTGTCCATTGGTGGTCTTGGCTGTGTCTGTGTGCTTTGACTTGGAATACTGCGGGTCTGGACTGCTGCCAATACTTGATCTAGAGGCAGTACCTACTACACTAGTACATACTCCCAGATTATTTCAATTAGACTCTTTTGGGGATGGATAATGACCATCTTTTGCTTTGTTTTTTTATACTAATGTAGTAGTACTAGTTTATCTTGGTGTTTTGTTTTCTTTGCTGCTAATGTACTGCTACTAGTTTATCACTGCTAGGCCCACCACTACTAGAATTGGAGCAGCTATATACCATAATGGCAATCCATGCCACAACTTAGACTCAACTCAGGCATATGAGGTAGCTCATATGATGATCGAATGGCCCCCTACTTATAAGTAGCTGTTGTTTTTTTGCCACCTTTCCTATCCTCTATGTTTGGGAAGCAGCAGCTGCTTTTTTTACACCTTTTTCTCTCTATGTTTCTGAGACCTTTACTACAACTACTACTCGTTTTTTGATATATTGTTGTTTTATAGGACTACTTTGGTTTATAGACCTTTTTTATTTCTTATACCTTCTCGCGTACCTAAAGCACACTTTCTTGCATCTATTAGAACAAAGCGTGAAATAATGTCGCAGACACCAGACAGTGCAGCCCGATGCCTCGAGCATGATGAGCAGCCAACCTATCAGGAGCAAGCACTAGAGGACCAGCTTACTCAGGAGCAGTTCAATAACGAGTTAGAAAAGGATCTAGAAGTGATTCTTACTCAGGAGCAGTGTGACAAGGAGGAAAGGGGGAGTAGAAGGAAGAGCAGGACATGCTGCAGAAGGCGAAGAAGAAGAGGATGATGATGATGACTCAGAAGAGGGATATGTAAGTCCCGAGGATCCTTTCTCACGTGAAGCCAGAAGGAGGCCAACGGAGGAAGATTTGGATAAGGATTTTGACCCGAACGAGGCGGTAGGGATAAAGCCTTAGCTTGTAAATTTTGCTAAAGCTTTGGCTATGTTACCTCTGCTAACAGTTTGACCTATCGTATATACAGGTCCCTCCTGAAACTCAGAAAAGACGACATCGATGTCCGCGACATCTCGCCGGACAAGACGGAGTAGAGGAAAGGAGAGCAGAGGCAACAGCCACAGAGACGAACATTGAGGCCTCTGCTCCACAACCTCAAGACACAACCACGGACATGACTACCAAGCCAAAGAGGAAACGAGGGGATAGAAAAGCAAATCAATATCCAGATAAGGCATGCTATGTGATAACGGAGGTCGGGCTAGTAGGGGAGATCCTTAAGCCAATGAATTTAGAGGATGATTCCGTAATGCTATCGGGGCCCTAGTAAGAGATAAATTGAACCTAGCAATCCCTAACTGGAAAGAGGTACCAGAGAAGAAAAAGGATGAACTATGGGATAAGCAGCTGAAGCTCAATTTTAGATTTCCGGAGGGTAACCATGAACTGGTAAAAAATGCTTTCAAGATCATAGGAGAGTCATTCTGATGTTGGAGGTTGGAGCTCAACAAGAAGTATATCCAAAAGGGGTTAACTCCATTCAATGAGTTTGACAACATAACTCCTAGTCAATGGGAGGAGCTCGTGGCTTAGAAGACTTCACCGGAGGCATTGGAGCTCAGTGCCTGTAACACCGAGCTAGCAACGAGGAACAAACACCACCATCATCTAGGACCCGGTGGCTACTATGGCAAGGAAGAGAAGTTTAGGAAGATGGACAAAGAGGCCGCAACTGCTGGGAATATCGATATGAAGAATTTGAAGGTACGCTCAAGGAATTGGATATATGCGAGGAGTACAGAATCATCCAACGATAATCTTAAGTTTGATAAGTCAGAGACCCAAGAGGCAGTATCAAGGATACTGAAATATGCTGAAGACAAGGAGAAGGGCTCATTCAATCCTTCCAGAGAGAGGGACGAGCTTAGCCTTGGCTTGGAAAACAATGAGCACACAGGCCGCACCAGGGGGCTAGGAAAAAGGATGACCTGGAAGCATGGATTCGAAGAGGATAGGCACATGTACAAGAAACATGGCATAGACCGAGAGGCTAATCTTGAACTCCAAGTGAAGGCTCTAGTTGCGAAGGCACTGGAGGAGCAAGGACTGTCTATGGTGCCACGCACATTAATGGCACCACCGGGAGAACTAGCATTAGTTGGCAGCCCTCCGAAAGTTCCTAGCAGTCAAGGTTCCACTACAGCCATAA